CCACCGGCAGCCCTCGAAAGTGGCGACAGCGTCGCAGATCGCAGCCATCCAGGGACGGCGCGGTCCCGCTCGGGTCTCGCGGTGGACAGGAGGCAGGAGGCGGGGGCAGGAGGAGGGAGACGCGACCGCGGTGCTCTATTCAAAACGAAAACCCAACCAATAAGGGTTAAGACAAATCGCAGTTGCAAGCCAGCGCGAGCATGTCGCGCTCGGCTCTGCGTGGGTCTGGCGAACCTCTTGGAGGAGGCTTCAAGCTCTCAGGAGCTCGATCCCATGGGTCGTCGGGCGCCGATTCAATTGAACAGGCGCTGACCGCGATCCATCGCCAGCTGCGCGGCGTGGGACAAGGCACGCCCTTGGCTGGGGGCGCCGAGTCGTCGAGCCGGTCGGCGAAGCCTCAACGGAGGTGTTCCTCCCACCGGGCGACGGCGCAGCAGAGGACAACGCGCCGGACGAGCCAGGTTCTGGGCCCGCGGCAAGTTGCATGCTGAAGACAGACCGTGCCAGACGGTAGATGAACAGCTGAGCGGCGGATCGCAGCGGCGTTGCACTGCCCGCGTCAGCTGGCACGCGCCTGAGATGTTCCCGTTCACTAAGGCGGCGACGTGGCTGAGTAGGTGGACAAGGGTAGACGCGTAGAGAAAGGCGCACAATATGTCATGTGCACACGGGCTGGAATCGCATGCCGGCTGACCCGGCCCACGCGCGGTCTTTCCGTGAGCTGCGTCCTCCGCGACAGAGCTGACTGCATCACGTGGCTGACTGGGAGAAACCAATATCGGTGCCAGCAGGCACTTGGAGAGGCGGCTGGAACCGAGCTTGGCCAGGGCCAGCCCGCGCGCGCGAAGGCGTGCAACTGGGCGCATCAGTGCCCCATCGCGCATAGCACAGCGAAAGGTTTCGCACTGGCTTGGCATGCCTCTGCCTCTGCGCACGCTCTGGCGCATAGCTGTGCATGCTGATGCCCGGCGCGCGCCGCGTGACACGCAGGCGCGCGCGCGCGCGCGGCGCCGCGCGCGCGCTGGCGCCACCGGGCACAAACGGCGCCCCATCGCGCGCAGCGCAACGCACTGGAGGCCAAAGCATTGCGCGCCGTGCTTGCGCAGCTGCATTACCAGGCATTAGCGATGCCCCGGGCGCGCTGAGCAGCGCGCGCATGCGCAAGGGCGGCGCGCGCCGCGAGGCTGGCGCAGCGCGCGCTGACAACGCGCATTCGCGCCCCCCGCCAGCGAGTCCCAAACGATAAGACAACTGCCGCAAACGGGTCATCCGCGAACGCTTCTCTGTCCGAAACTGGCGTGGAAGAAGGCGCGCAGGTTGCCGCGTGGCCGCGCGCCTCGACCGAATGGCAGCGAAAAGGCTCCAACGAAATATTGCGGCCGAGGGCGCGACAAACGCGCCAGCATGCCTGAAGCCGCGCGTTCCGTGCATAGCGCGTCCGAGGGCCAGGGCGCACGGCATGGAATCAATAATAGAACGACAGGTCTTGTGGTCAGGCGGGGGGCGCAGCTCTGCCCTACATACTTTCCAAATGCACTCAACCTTGCTACCTTGTTGAATGGGCGAGTGGGCCGCGCGCCTGTGGCAGCGCTGACACGCGGTCCTGGCCAGGGCCGCCCGTCGCGCAGCACGCAGGCGGGGCCGCTTCACTGTTCTTCGGGGAAGACCCTTTCACTAGGCGTCCGGGCAATACGCGGCGCAACAGCATTGCTGGCGATATGCCTGAAAGCCTCATCCTGGAGCAGAGGCGGCGCAGACGATGGCGAAGCCGCTGTCGGACTCCGCTTCGAGCAAGCGTAGAATGAGGAAGCACGGCAGTGCGCTGTTGCCGAAAATGTCGACGGTGGCGACGAGACGACGAGACCTACAATGACCAATTCGCGTGGCGTGGCCGTCGAGCTGGCTTCAGCTGGATGTGGCGACTGCAACGTTTGCCGGATGCGCGACTGGCCTGCTGCGGTCCACAGTCAGGACACCAACATGCATCGGTGACATCTGGTTGGTGGTGGGGTGCTCACCATGGCACCAAGATGGCGTGCCTCCTCCTCAGAAAGTCTCGATGGCGATGTGGGCACCTTGGGACTCGGACCTGCAAGGGGACGGACGCCAAGTTGAAGTTCGGAAAAACCGTCATGGTGCGCGGGCCCTTGGCTGCGGCCTTGGCGTGGAAACGCTCGGAGCGCACAGCGTGCTCACTAAGATGTACGCCTGCACAGCTGCGCACTGTCCGAACCCAAGCGCTGGCCCAGCCGCGCGGCGCAACGCAAGACGGCAAGACGACTGCGTTCTGCTGCCAGTGTCGGGAAGTTGTTTGTGTGGTGAGGGAGCCGAGGCGTCGCTGCCTCCGAAGGCGGTGCGCCCCTGCACCTGGCAATCTGTCTGTTCCACGCGACGGTGCAACCACAGGAGCACTTGCGGCTTGACATTCGCTCCATCGCGCCTCTGGATGCGTTGGGCGAGTTCCCCGAAGGGGTGCTGAACAACCATACGCACAAGGTGTTCAGGAACCGGAAGGCGGCACCAATGCGGAGTGGGGCAAGTGCGGATGTGCGTCCATCTCGGACTCTGCGCAGCTCTCGTGGATCGGTGCTAGAGCTGGTTTGCACAAGCTCCGCTACCAACTGGAATTGTGGGTGACAAAGGTGCGGATCCCAGGAATCCGCGCGGAACGCCAACAATTTATGTTTATGGCGTTCTTGCTCTTCGAGATAGACCTGGCGGCAATGGAACTAGGTGTGAGAGGGATGGATGCTCCATGAAGCCAGTCTGCTATACCCACCCGCTGGGGGACACAGCGCGCACTATGAGTCGGGATGCCCCTCAGAGACGCGTGCGCCTTCAGGGCAGCGCGCAGTGAGGTGAGAGGATGAGAGGCGCGGGTGTTCCCACCGGCCAGGACTGCGCCATCTTCCATAATAAGGAGGGTTATTTTCCGCACCATCGACTATCTTCTCTCCGCGCGCACGCTCGAGCGATGCGATGACGGCGGCGGGCGCGAACGAACCATACTCAGACGAAGACGAGGAGGAGGGGGAGGAAGAGGAGGAGGAGGAGGAGGAGGAGGAGGAGGGGGATGAAGAGGAGGAGGAGGAGGAGCAGGAGGAAGAGCAGGAGGAGGAGGAGGAGGAGGAGAAGGGTAGGACATGGAAAAAAGACGATGACGATGACCTCCCCCTGCGCCCCCCCGAGGGCGACGGGTGAGAAGGATCTAGGGCTGACCCAACCACCGTTTGCGAATATTGCTTCCCGAACCGCTCACGAAGCGCTCGTTTTGCACAGCCTTTCTTTCCCTCCACCGAACGGCCGTGGACAAGGCCCTTGAACTGGTTCCGAGACGTTGCCGCACCGTTCGCGAACACCCGATCACGGACATGTCTGCCCCACCCTTCCGAACACATTCTACGGCACGCCCAGGCGGCGAGTGCCTCGAGGGTGCCCGCGCCACCCTGGCATCGGGCGAGGTCGTACGCGGGCTCCCCTTCTGCATGCTCCTCGGCCAGGAGGAGGGCCTCGCGCCGGAGCGCCCCTCGGCACCCCACCGCGACCACACGCCGCGACCCGCCGGCTCGCAGACCACGGGGTCTGCCAGGCAACTGGTGGCTCACAGCAGGCTGCGGGACCTCGAGCCAAAGCGGCCACGGTGAAATAGACGGCGCCATTCTCGGGGCGTCGCGGGACGCCCCCGCGGCCGCGGCCGAGTCCGCCCCGAGGCTCCGGTGCAATCGCACCCCGGGAGGTGCCCTGGTGCCGACTTGCAACCTGCAGGCCCAAACCCCCTCACGTCGCAAACAGAATCCTGACGGGCTGTGGCTTCGCCACTCTCAACCTCCTGGGGGTCGTTGGCGGGCCCCGTGGCCGTCAAAAAACGGCCAGGGAAGAGGAGCCAGACAGAGGGGAGGTCTTCAGCGTGTACCACTCCCAGGTCGAGGATCGACGATGACTCGGGGGACGCCAACGCGGTACAGTCGGACTGCTGAAGTAAGCAACGTTGATGAAGGTAGCCCTCTCTGGCACCAATCAACGCCTGGGCGCACGAGGAGGGCTAGAGGAACAACCACGGAATGACCTGAGCAACTGTCAGCCCCTTCCGAAGCCAACGCGGTCCTTATTTCAGCGTCTTGGCTGCACGGTGCACACAGATCACAAGTAGTCCGCGGACAGGGGCCGCGCATTGAACAAAGCGCGACGTCGGAGGTCTCGGGCACCACCTCCACGGTGCCGACGACGCAGGCCGCGGCGACAACGCGGCCGGGCCAGGGTGCCGAGGGCAACGGCGACGGCGAAGAGGTGTTTTGAAGGTTTCGGAGTTCTGTCTCGAAAGTCTTCAGGCGATCTTTCGGAGGTGTGCGGATGCTTTCGCACGGAGCTCGGACGTCTTCGGGATGACTTCAGAAGGTTTGGGGTGGTCTTCACAGGTCTCGAAGGTGCTCTGCAATTTGAATGTTTCCAGAGGGGTTCGGAAACTCGTTCATGATTTGTTGGCGTACGTTTTTAAGGGGGTTAGGGAAAGCTTTCGCTGGGGTCGAGTGTTGATGGCTTTCGGATGCTCGAGGAAAGCTCTGGGAGGTCTCAGACAGCGTGTTGTGTCCTCCGAGATTGCTCTAACTGTTGCTCGTGATTGCTGTGCGTATACGTACACCCCTCTTCCGCTCGGCTGGCGCCCCGCCAAGTTCCATGAGCATCGTGTAACTGATCCCCATCCTCACTGGCGTGGCCTGGGCCCCACTGGCCGATTTACACCCTCGATGGGGATGCAGGCTGCTCCCGTCAGGCTTCGAAAGGCCTATCCCCGGCTGGGGTGTGTGGCATGGTGGGGCTGGGATACCATGGTCCGGTGGGGATGCGGATGGGTTTAGCGATACTGATTCCAGGAGGGGTAGCAATAGAATTAGGAAAGGGAAGAATGAATACGGACTAAGAGCAGACTGAACCCCGCGGCAGACGGAACAGACTGGGACAGCTCGGCAGTCTCGAGGGGCTCGGGGCTGGCTACTGGTCGGTCAGCCCTTAGCCTGCTTGGCTGCCCTGCGGTCAGCCTTTGTCACGGAGTGGTAACCTGACTTGATTGACGTCGTCGTTCGGTCTGCGCCGCAGACGTTGCACTTTACGGCCCAGAGCCGCGTCGAGGAGTCCTTGACCAGCTCGGTGTCGGCGCCCTTGCACATGTGGCAGGTCACATAATCCTTGCGGAGGAGGGAAGCACCAACCAGACCGAGGAGGCGGGGGTGATCTGAGCATGGCCAGGGCCCTTCCTCGAGGGAGAAGCCCCCAACCAACCCAGGGGAACTCACTCCTGGCTTATCTGGTCAGGGTCCCCTGTCCCCAAAGTCCTTGATGTACTTTCGCAGCACGCTCTCCAGGTGCTTGGGCAGGTACCGGCCCTTCAAAACCAGCTGACCGTCAGCGCCGGCTCCCTCCGCGCGCGCGGTGGCAGAACCGGCCACCGAGCCCTCCGTGCCAAATTCCGCCAACACGAAGGACACGACGTGGTCGGATGGCCGCTTAATCATCTGACAGATCTCGGCAAAGTTTACCCAGGCCACCCTCTTGGAGCCCACGCGGACCACCTGCGGAGGCTTCAACACGTGCTTCTTCGCTACCCCCAGCGTCGGGCACTTGTTCTCGACGATCTCGTACATACGCGCGAGCATCTCCTGATAGGTGTACTCTGGCCCTTTCGACCAGTCCACGCTGGTAAGCTGGACTTCTTTCTCATCCTCGTCCGCTTTGTCCCTCTTCTCTTTTTTCTCCTTCTTCGGCTTCTTCTTCTTTCCGAAATCAAACTCGGGCTCCCCCTCGTCTCCCATTATTCCTACTCTTGTCTAGGGCCAGCGAGTCGTCGTGAAAGCTGCAGGAGCCTGCGTCCTTGGACCAGATCAACTTGCCAAAATTGCTTGAGCCAAAACGGCTACGGAAAAGCTGTCGCAGGGGTTCCAGACAGTTTCGGAGGTTTGCGGTGGCGACGACGACGGCGACCACCACCACCACCTCGACAACGGCAAAGACGCGGACCGCGGCGACGATGACGACAGACTAGGATTTGTTTGAAGAATGATCTTTCGAAACGAACGAGTGCGCGCGCAAAGTATTATCAGGTATGAGGGGGCGTCGATACCAATTTGACTGGGATGGTACGATGAGGCAGAAGCACTCGTTGTAAGTAATCTCCCAGGGGGGGTCGATAAGTCCATGGGGTAGAGGGTGGTGGAATCGGTCTGTCTTTTGCAAAAAGATCAGATTTACATATATTATTATTATTATTATTAGTATTATTATTATATATAAAATATGGAGCAAAATATGTGGCGCAATCTACGTATTGCAGGTGGTCAACCTGTGCGATGCGTGGTGCAAAGCGTGGGTCAAACCACGTAGGACAATTGCATATATGTGGCGCAATACAGCCAAACGTATGATTAAGAAGATCACGGTTTAGGAAACCTTAGCCAGCTCTTTCTGGAAGTTTCTTCAAACAAGCCTGGGTCAACTTCTGCTGTTCACGCTGGAGGGGCGAACGTGCTCAAGAAACGGGGCCAGCTTTCCAGCAAGTTGGTTACGACACGTTGGCCCAGCTTTTCAGCAAGAGGTTTCTGAATCAGATGCTAGACTGTAGATGTGATGCAAGCTATTCAGCCCAAGCTATGCGGTGCCATCTGCGCAACTGGAGGGCACAGGGGGCCCACGTGCCCCGGCAGACGCGGCCAGACGGGACTCCCACGAGACGCCCACGAGCGGCCACGAGGGCGAAACCTCGGTCGCGACGACGACGACGACAGGCCGTGCCAGAGGACGCCCAAATGAACAGGGCCGGGCATAGCGGTCAACCCGTTTAGTGAGAATGCGCGGTAAGGATGCAAAGGCCTTGGAAGGCCACGTCGACACTTTGCGAGCGGGGCGCGGCCAGCGAAAAGTCGCGAAGGATTGGCCGAAGGGGCAAGGATACAAGGGTACCCTTAGGAAGGCTTGCAATCCTTATTTCGCGGGTTGACTATTGCGGTCACGACCCTCCCCGAGAAATCTGGTGGCACTACTGGACAAGGACACCCATCCGACTCTGCGGCGATGCCTTTCCTAAGGGAGACATGCCCACCCCCAAAAACCTCTGATTCCGTGACTCTTTCACAGAATGTCGACCCCCAGAAGCCTCGACCCGTTCGCCAGGACCCGCTTTCCATCCCGAGTCGTTCTTTGACAGCCCCGAGGCTGGGCAAGGGCCCCGAGAGGCCGAAACCAGCGCGAGAACGACCTCCTGCTACGATTCTCTCATGGCCCGAGGGAGCCTGGGCCCGCAGCGATGGCCACGAGGGCAGCGTCGCCTTCGCCAGGACCTGGGGTGCCGCCGCCTTGCAGGCGGCTGCGCGCGGCGGCAGGCACAGCCCCGCGGCCAACAGCGCCGCGGCCAGCGACGCCCCCGCCGCCAGGAGCTGCAGCGGCCAGCCGGCGTCGCCCGCTGGCGCCTGCCGACGACGGCGGCAAAAGCGACAAGGACGAGGAGGAGGAGGAGGACGAGGAGGAGGACGAGGACGACGGTGACGACCGCGGCGGCGAAGGAGGTGGGCGGCGGCGGCGACGAGGACGGCGTCGACAGCGGCGGGCGGCGACTGCGACGGCGGCGGCGACGGCGCCGACGACGACGACGACGAAGACGACGGCGACGACGAAGACGACGACGACGACGACGGCGATGACGACGGCGATGACCACCACGGTGGCGACGACGACGACGGCGGCGACAGCGGCGGCTGGCGACGGCGACGAGGACGACGACGACGAAGACGACGAAGACGACGGCGATGACGATGACGGTGGCGACAACGACGGCGGCGATCACGACGAGGACGACGACAACGGCGACGGCTACGACGACGACGACGACGACGACGGCTACGACGACGACGACGACGGCGGCGGCGGCGACGACGACGGCGACAGCGGCGGCTGGCGACGGCGACGAGGACGAGGACGAGGACGAGGACGACGACGAGGACGAGGACGAGGACGACGACGACGATGACGACGACTGCGGCGGCGGCGGCGATCACGACGAGGACGACGACGACGACGACGGCGACGACGACGACGACGACAACGACGACGACGGCGGCGGCGGCGGCGACGACGACGACGGCGGCGGCGGCGACGACGACGACGGCGGCGACAGCGGCGGCTGGCGACGGCGACGAGGACGACGGCGACGAGGACGAGGACGAGGACGAGGACGAGGACGAAGACGAGGACGAAGACGACGACGACGACGACGACGACGACGACGACGACGACGACGACGGCGGCGGCGGCGGCGGCGGCGGCGGCTGCGACAGCTATGGGCGGCGAGGGCGACGAGGACGACGGCGTCGTCGTTTTGACGATTTTTGGGTGCGGAGAAAGAGGACCGACTCCGGGTCAGGCACACCCGGGGCCCAGGCTCGGTGCGTTCGCTATCCAGACTTGGCTGGGGAGGCATGTACGCCGATCTTGGGCCCCGTGTGGACCTGGCCAGGATCGGCGTATGTGCACAGTTCTCTTCGCCCAGTCTGGAGGCTCGTCGCCGCCATGCGGTGGGGGACTGTGGCCTGAAAGGCCGCCAGGAGGCCGACGTCGTCCGCAGGGAGCCTCTCGCAGGCGCCGTCGGCGTCTTCGACGTCGGCTTCTTCGTCGTCTGCGGCGGCGTCGCCGTCGTCGCGACTGTCGTCGTCGGCGTCGGCGTCGTCGGAGCCGTCATCGTCGCAGGCTCTCCCAGCGGACCCTCGGATCTGGCGGCCTCTCCCCGAGGCTCCCAGGAAGGCTCTTCGGAAGCTCTCGGCGGCCTCGTGTGGCCCCAGGAGCACATCCCGGCTGCGACACGACATGATAATCGGGCCCGTTCCATCGACGACACGTCGTGGTCGTCGTGGTCGTCGTTGACGCCGTGGTCGTCGCGGTCGTCGTAGTCATCGTCGCCGCCGTCGGCTCCACCGTCGTGGTCATTGCCGTCGTCGTGATAGCCGTGTGGTGGTCGTCGTGGTGGTCGTCGTGGTGGTCGTCGTGTTGAACGTCGTGGTCATCGCGGTCGTCGTGGTCGTGGTCCTGATCGTGGTCGTGGTCGCCGCTGTTGTCGTCGCCGCCGCCGCCGTCTGACCAATATCCGCCCAGGGCCGCGTCTAGCCCCGGCCAGTTTCTTCGTGCCGCGCCCAGCCGTGGTAACGAGAACCTCCGGGGAGGCCCAGAAGGCCTTCGAAACGCCGAAGACGACGCCGTCGCCGCCGGTTTTGAAGCCTCGGGACGTCTCCGGACTTCTCCGGAGGTCTGCCGTCGTCGTCGCCCTCGTCGTCGTCGTCCTGGCCGCGCCCGCCGTCGCTGCCGCCGCCGGCGTCGAGGTCGTCGTGGTCGTCGTCGTCGCCGTTGCTGTCGTCGCCGCCGTCGCCGCCGTGGTCGACGTGGGAGGTACGGGCTGGCCTGCGGCGCTGCCCCGGCGGTGGCCAGCCTCCCAGCCGCGGGCTCGGCCTTCGCGGCGACGGCGTCCTGCGCGCCACGGGCGCCGTCACCGTGGTGGTCATGACGATCGTCGACGTCGTCGCAGGTCGGGGATCTAGAGTCGACGATACCATCGGAGACCGAGGATCGAGGATCGCAGATCGTCGAAGATCGAGGATAGGAGATCGGAGCCTATCGTCGGTGGCCTCAGGGGGCCTCCAGAAGCCTCAAACAAATTCCAAGAATCTCAAAAGAGTCTCCAGGAACTTGCGCAGACCACTGGAGACGACGCAACGCTATGGTCGTCAGCGTCGTGGTGGTGGTCGCTGTCGTGGTCATCGTAGTTGTAGACGTCGTAGTCGCCGTAGTTGTAGTCGCAGTCGTCGTCCTCGTAAACGTTGTAGTCGTAGTCGTAGTCGTTGTCGTCGGCGTCGGCGTCTGCATCGGCGTAGTCGTCGGCATCGTCGTCGCTGTCGTCGACGCAACTTGGGTATCCGAGGCTGTCTTCGGGCACTGGGGCCATCCAAGAGGCGGCCCGCGACGAGAAACCAGTCCCTGGGGTGTTGCCGACAGCTCCCGAGCCCACGTCGTGGAAGAGCTCGCGCGGCGGACATCTGAGTGACCTGCCGAGCCTCCAGAGCGCACGGAGGAACGCCCCGCCGCGGCGGACGCCGTGCAGGCCCAGCTGAGACCATGGTGGCCTCTGACATCTGGCCTGCCAGAGCAGCAGGCAACGCGAAAAAAAACGACAAGGAGCGAGGGCGAGGTCGAACCCCCCAGGGAGGGGAGGGAGAGGGAGGAGGTTCTAGGACGTCTGTGGGAGGTCTTTTGTTCAGTTCTGGGGTGCGCTTCAAGCGTACTCCCGGAGCTTGCCGAGCCCTGCGAGCAGGGCTTGAGAGCCAGGGGCAGGCGTGAGCAGTTCGGCAGGCGTGGGAATTTTGGCAGAATCTCCCAAGGACTCCGTGGCCCTACCCCCCCCCCGTTTGGGACGTCCCCGCCCCATGTGGATCGGGAGGGGTCGTGCGGGCTGTTGCCATTGGCCCGAATTGACCCCCTTTCGTAAAACTCCGCCCCGTGCGCGGGCGTGCGTTGATCCCTTTCGGCTGCAGGGGCCGCCAGTCTTGTTTGCGTTCGATTCGTCGGAGTTTTTGACCACCGGGACACAGCAGCCCCGCAGGGAGCCGAGGGTAAAAACGTTGGTTTTCAGTGGTTGTTGTCGACTGGTTTCGCCTTCTCACGTTTTCCGGCTTCCAACGCTCCAAGACCGAGGAACTTGAAAAACATAAGGAATTTCACAAATTCCCTATTTTTGGCAGATTCAACACATGCGGGCCCCCCCTCCGGGGGCGTCCTCCACCTCGCTCACGTCTTCTGTACGCTCCCAGTGCCGCGCTTCCCAGCCTCCCGGGGAGCCCCCACAAGCCCAATGACAGCCCAAGACGACCCCAAGAAGCCCCCAGAACGAAAAAGAATTACCCAAGACGCTCCCAAGCAACCCAGGATAGCTGTCGGGCGGCTCTCCAGGCTCCCAGGAGGCCTCAAGAGAGCTCCGAGAGGCCTCCCGAGAGCGCCAGGAGAATCTAAAGTCGTCAATGTTCCTGTTTTTTTCTCAAGGCTCTTGGCCTTCTCACCATTTCATGCTTCCAACGCTCCAAGACGGCCGAAGAGGCCCCCAAGACCGCCCAAGAGGCCCCCAAGACGGCCCCAAGACAGGCCAAGACGGTCCCCAGACTGCCGAAGAGGCGCCCCGGACAGCTCCAGACCACCCCGGAACAGGCCCAAGATGAGTCCAAGAGCAGGAGCAGGAGGCCGCCAGAGACCTCCGAGAGGACTCCGGGACCCCCCAGAGGCCTCCAACACACCCAGACCCTTGAGAGGTCCCCAGAGAAGCTCTGACGAGGCCCCCGAAACAGCCCAAGAGAGTTTCGAGAGCCGTCCCGAGAGAGCCCGAAGAGGGTAAAAATGCTGGTTTGCAATAGTTTGTTTGTCGACTTGCTTCGCCTCCTCACGTTTTCTGGCTTCCCACGCTCCAAGACCGACGAATTTTAGGAACAAAAAAAAGCAATTCCAGAGATTCCCTTCTAAGCAAAAATGAACAAATGCGCGCCCCCTCCTCTCGGGGGTCCGCGCTTCCCGACCTCCAGGGGAGCCCCCAAAACGCCCAGGACAGCCCAAGATGACCCCAAGAAGCCCCCAGAACGTCAAAGAAAGGCCCCCCAAGACGCTCCCAAGCAACCTAGGATAGCTTTCGGTCGGCTCTCCACGGCTCCCAGAAAGCCTCCAAGAGACTTCAAAGACCGAGGAACTTGAAAAAACAAATCCAGATATTATTTTTTTTCAAGTTGGGACTCCTACTCCCTATCCTCTTCCTCGAGCCCCATCAAGACTTCGGGATCACATGCAAAGACTTGTCGGGATACTGTTGAACTCTCTAACGCTGTCTTGGTACTCTCTGGGATCGTCTTCGTGTCCTCTTGGCTGCCCCTGAAACCACCGTAGAAATCGAGATCCCATGATCCCATGAGTCGAGAAAAAAAAGGAATTTCAAATTTTCTGCATCTTCATTAAATTCGCCCCGTGCCTATGTTTGCACGCAGACCACGAGAGGCATCCCAACAGACCGCGGCCTGCATCCAGAAAACTTCTAACTCACAGCCCAGGCACGGTAACTTCATAAAAAAATGCTCCCACAGTTCCGTATTTTTTCAAGTTCGCCCCCTTGTCTACTCTTGCAGAACAGACCACAATTGAGGCCCTCCTCAGCTCCCAGAAAAAGAACCCAGGAAGTCTTCGAGGGCCCCGAATCGTTGAATACCGAACGGGAATTAATGATTGTTGCGTTTCCGCAGTGATTCCGAGGCTTGCGCAGGGCCTCCAAGAGTCCGTGGATGCAAGAAACGACCAAAAATAGATCCCATGAGTTAGCCCATCAAGCTTAGCTAGAACTTGATCGCGCGCGAATCGCGCGCGATGGTTCTATTGTATATATATATGTATGTAGAACTGCCCGAACCCAGCACCTGGAACCTCTTCCCCTCCTCTCTGCTGGCCGGAACCAGTGCTGGGCCAACTCAGACCCCAGCTGCCTTCAAACGCCGGACAAAAAAAGGAAAGCGAAGGCCAGGGAACTCGCATAGCACCACATCTCTCCAGTCCGACTGCCTGTCGCACGCAGCCCCACACAGCCTGCCAGGCCCGACGCAAAACCCTGGACACGCACAGCGAGTTGAGGCGTCCCAAACCCCGATGGCGGGGCCGTCCAAAGCGCGTGAAAGCCTGTGGGGGACGCTTGCAAGGACGCTTAAAAAAATGTCTGCGGAGCTTGCAGCCTCGTGAGAAGGGGCTGCGCAGGGGCCCCCGAAAAGCTTCGAAGGAGCCGCGGAAAAGGCTTACCGGAAATGCATTGCAAACGAGCAAGAGAACGCTCTCGGGACAAGCTGCAATCTGACAGGAGTCGCTGCGGCGCTGCGTTACCAGCGCCAGAAAGAGCTCCTGAGCTACCATTCGATGCCGGCTTCTCATCTGCAGCCTTCTGAGCTCTCAGAGAGCTATCCGGGAATCTCCAAAGGCCCCCCCACCCCCTATGATGTGCCGATGGAGGATTATCGCCCGGGATGGGTGCAGGGGAGGGGCGGTGCCCTGGCTGCAATCTGTGGAGGAGGAGAGGGAGGAGGAGGAGGAGGAGGAGGAGGAGGAGGAGGAAGAAGAAGAGAACGAGGAGGTGGAGGAGGAGGGCCTCCACATCCTCAGTTCTCCCCCGGTAGCAGGAGAGCCCAGAATGGAATCGACAAATCGGATCGGCGATCGAAATGCATCGGATCGGCGGACATCGGTAGCCAAGTTGGGAGAAGTCGAATCGGCGGAAATTGGCAGCGGCAGACTAGCAGGCCTCCAATGAAACATCGGAGCCCAAATCGGAATCCGAAGTCGAATCGGAATCGGCAGCCATCGAGACCGAATCGAACCGATTTGGAGGGTTCGAAATGAGCCCTGTGGTCGTGGTGGTGGAAAGAATGCCCCCTCCTCCTCCTCCTCCTCCTCCTCCTCCTCCTCCTCCTCCTCCTCCTCCTCCCTCCTCCCTCCTCCTCCTCTCCCTTCCCCCCCCCCCCCCAGCCAGAGCGACGGCCGCGTCCTGGCTGGCCACGAGCGCCGCCAAGCGGGCGCCGTGGGCCGCGAGCCGCTGGCCGCCGCGGCCGGCCAGGCGGCCCGAGGAAAGGGCCGTCGTCGTCGCCGCCGCCGCCACCGAGGTCGTCATCGTCACGGTCGTCGTCGTCGTCGTCGTCATCGTCGTCGTCGTCGTCGTCGTCGTCGTCGTCGTCGTTGCGTCGTGGTCGTGGTCGTGGTCGTCGTCGTCGTCGCTGTCGCGGCCGCCGCCGCCGCCGCCGCCACCGCGGTCGTCGTCGGGTCGTCGTGGGCGTCGGCGTCCGTCGTCGGGTCGTCTGTCGTCGGTCGTCGCCGTCGTCGTGGTCGTCGCCGTCGTCCTCGTCGTCATCCGTCGTCGTCGTCGTCCGTCGAAATCATCGTCATCGGCGTCGTGCACGCCCCTCGTCGCCGCCGTTGCCGTCGTCGTCGTCGTCGGCAACCGTCGTCGTCGTCGTCGTCGTCGTCGTCGTCGTCGTCGTCGTCGTCGCCGGCACCTGATTCCCGTCGTCGTCGTCGTCGTCGTCGTCGTCGTCGTCGTCGTCGTCGTCCGTCGACGTCGTCGTCATCGCGGTCGTGGACGCCCCACGTCGTCGTCGTCGTCGCCGGCCTCCTAGGTCGTCGTCGAGTCGTCGTGGGCGTCGGCGTCCGTCGTCCGTCGTCGTCGTCGTCGTCGTCTTCTTCGTCGCCCGACGTCCTCGTGGTCGTCATCGCCGTCCGTCGTCCGTCATGCGTCGTCGGTCGTGGTCGGGTCGCCGACGTCGTCATCGTCGTCGTCGTCGGCATCGGCGTCGTCGTCGTCGTCGTCGCCACCGCCACCGCGGTCGTCGTCGAGTCGCAGTCGTGGTCGTCGTCGACGCCGCCGTCGCCGTGGTCGGGTCGCCGTGAGCGTCGGCATCCGTCGTCGGTCGTCGTCGTCGTCGTCGGTCGTTGTCGGTCGTCGTCGTCCGCCGACGTCGTCGTCATCGTCGTCGTGCACGCCCCTCGTCGCCGCCGTTGCCGTCGTCGTCGTCGTCGGCACCCGTCGTCGTCGTTGTCATCGTCGTGGTCGTCGTCGTGCGATGCGATGCGATGCAACCACCGTTGCGGACATCGTCCGGGCCTAGTGCAGACCAGGTGGGTGAGGCCATGGCCTCTAGGATCTGAGATATTTGGATTCATGCAATGCGAGGCATGTAAAAAAGTTAGGAGGAGAAGGGGAGGAGGAGGAAAAAAAGTCCTTGGTGTCGGTGTCGGCGCGGGTTGGGCGAGATTACGTCATTGGTCTGAGTCCCGGGTGCTGGTCGTGGGCTTCGGCGATTGTCGTCGTCGCGATTACGTCGTGGGCTTCGGCGGTTGTCGTCCATCGTCGTCGTCGTCGCGATGGTCGTCGTTGTCTTCTTCGTTCGCCATTGTCGTTCGTCTGTTGTCCGTCGTCAGTAGTGGTCCGTTGCCGTCGTCGCAGTGGTCGTCATCGTCCTCGTCGTCGTCGTTTTCGTCGTCGTCGCCGCAGCAGCCGCCAATGCGGTCACTTTCGGGTCGCAATCGTGGTCGTCGTCGTCGCTGGCTTCTTCACTAGAGCGCAGCTGTTAGCCGAGCACGTTCGTGCTGGCACGTGTGGGTGGATGGAGCATCCACCACCACCATGTAGAGACCGCAGGCGCAGTCTAGTTCCCAGTGGATGCCCCTCAGAGCCTTAGAATGTTGCCTATTTTCCATACGATAACCTTCGGCCAATGTATGCATCAAGCTGGCGATCCGCACTCCCACGGTAAAGCGTCGACTCGAACACTCGCCCCAAACTCCCAATGATGTACGGCCTCTTGAAGGCCACCAACAATGGTTTCTGCTACCACGGAGAGGGGGCGCACTCTGTGTGCTAGGAAAACACAAGGACGGGACTTCCAAGACCAGCAGCCAAAATACCTACCCCTACTCAATGTGCAGACCTATCGCGCAGGTCATGTTTAACGGAGTGCAAGCAGCGCATCACAACTAGGATGCTGGCGACCCTTCCGACTGTGCAGGACGAGGAATCTGATATCGCTGCTATCAGACAATTCGATGCGCCCTGGTCCGACAGTGGCGCGTTTTGGGAAGCTCCCGAATTCGCCGGCACTCGAGGGGCAAAACGCAAGCCCGACCCTGAGAGGTGGAGGTGGGTCCCCCCGACCCCTCCTCCCGCGCCCTCCTCCCTTGGTCCCGCTCCTGGCCCGCGACGCTTCAGCTGCATCAGGGCTGGATCTGAACGTTGTTGTTCGTGTTGTTGAGGTTTTGTTTCTCGTTTTGCTCTACCTGTCTTCCTGCGCCTCCCTGCCAAACCGAAAAACAAGACACAGCCGAAGCCCAGCAGAACAGTGTTTGTGCCCAGCCCTGACCTTCATCGCTGGCCTGGTCTGAGCAGGCTCCAAGAGGCGCCAGGCAAGTGTTAGGTCGGGCCTGTCCCCCTACAGGCGGACTTTGGAAGGAAAACATGTAGAACATCTTCTCAATTTGTCTCCCAACCCAAAAAAAAACACGAATTGTCGAAAAAACAAAATCAAAACGCCCCCAGGCCATTATTTGCCTGTTTTGGAATTTTCCTCCTGTAGAGGGGCACGCCCGCCTTCAGGCAAGTGCAGCGAGCTAGCTGGCGCTCCCAGGCTCTCTAGAGCGGGCTCCCTGCCGCTGCCCGCCGAGGAGCTCCCTCGACGCGGGCGACGAGGCGGCCAGGCCCCCGGGCCTGGAGGAGGCCGCGCCCGCCTCGGCCTCGGAGGATGCCCCGAGGGCGCTGGTCGCCCTCTCCTCCACCTGCTGCTGCTGCTGCTGCTGCTGCTGCTGCTGCTGCTGCTGCTGCTGCTCATGGCGGTCGAGGGTGATCCTGTGGCCATGCACGCCTGTCCTGCCCCTCCCGCCCGGCAAAGACCTGGGTGGGAGGGTGGGCTCAACAGGGAAGAAGTATGTATGTATGTATGTATGTATGTATGTATGTATGTAGGTAGGTAGGTAGGTAGGTAGGTAGGTAGGTAGGTATGTATGTATATATAAATATATATATGTGTATGTAAAGAAAAACGCGCCGAAGCCCGAGAGAGGGAGAGAGAGACGACGACGACGCAAGCGCGCGTTTCCGTGGCATGTCGAGGCCATCCTGCGGCCCAAGTCGAAATTGTTGCGGCTTGCTGTGTGCTCCCGGGGCTTTATAGGCCCTGAGGGGCCCAGACGGCTGCCCAGAACCATGGAGCACGACCCCCGACGTCATGACTTTTTCGTTACGTCGACCCCTGGAGGTCTCGACCCATTCCCCTGAACCGGTTTTTCACCCTGAGTCGTTCTTGTGGACGGCCCCGAGGACCGGTAAGGGCCCCCAGAGGCCGAAAATACAAAAAAAAAAAAAAAAACACTCCCGTCCAGATTTTTGCATTGCCCGAGGGGGTCTGGGGAGCGCGACCCAGCGTCATCGGCCAGCGTCCACCGCCGCCCCCCCCCCCCCTCCCGCCCCCTGCAGGAAGGCCCGCGCGAGGCCACGAAAAGCGCCCCTGGGAAAGCTCCGGGCCCCGGCCCCAAGGGGGTTTGTGTGGAGCAGGGACCGACCGTCCAGGCATTTCTGTAGGCCCACCACGACGTGTTCTTAGAACCCAACAGCGTTCCAATAACAAAAACGACATGTTCTTAGCACAGAAGCCCGATGTGTTAAAACAAGACAGACGCAGCCAGAAATGTTCTGAGAACATTTCGTTGAAACCACGGGAGATCCTCAGAACACTCTTTGGTGGGCCTGCAGGCGAGCCAGGACGCTTCGCCACTGCTTGACTGTGGGCGCTCTTCGCCCGGCCGCGGCGCATGGCCCGCGCCGCGCCAGGACTCCAGCTCCCTGCGGAGCTGGTCGCCCTCGGCGTGCAGCGCCGCCTGCGCTCGCCGTCCGCCGCCGCCGCCGCGCGGTGCCGCTCGGCCGAGGACCCGTCCGTGGAGGCCGGGAACGCTCGAGCTCCGGTCGGTCGAGGCGCGAGGCTCGGGGGAGAAGGCTCGGGGCTCGAGGCTCGGGGCTCGAGGCACTCGAGGCTCGAGGCTCTCGAGATGCTCGAGGCTCTCGAGATGCTCGAGATGCGAGGCTCCAGATTGTCGTCGTCGCGACCGCCGGTCGATCGATCGAGAATCGAGGATCGCTCGCTCCGTGGCGGGTAGAGATCAGAGGAGCGAGATTTCTTGCGTCTCGTCCTCCCTTCCCGGGCCCGAGGGGCCTCTGGAGGTCTCTGCGGGGGCCTACGGTGGCCTACGGGCCGCTGCTGCCGACGTCGATCGAGGGTCGAGGCTCCATCGATCGAGGCTCGAGGTGCGATCGAGCCTTTGCAGAGGCTGGATGGAGTCTGGGCAGATGGGGTCGGAGGGCCACGCCGCATCGACGAGACACCGGGGCGATGCGTTGGCGATGCCTCGGCCATGCATCGGCGACGTCGGCGACGCATCGGCGACGTCGACACGAGGAACATCGGGATCCACAACGAGCCGTCTATCGTGGATGCATCGGCGAAGCGGCGCGACCCTCCGACACCATTTACTCCGACTCCATCCAGGATGCCTATGTAGAGGTTGGACGCTCACGGTCCTTTCTGGGCCTCCGCGTAGGGGGTCCTTCGTGGCCGCGGGTGGGTCCGCCTCGAGGCCCTGGCCACGACGCACCCCCAGGACAGGCCCCTTGAAAGAACATATCGTGGATACCCCCTGGAGATCGGCGTCGTCCGACGTCCATCGTGTCGGCCATCGTGACCGTGACCGTCGTCGTCGTCGTCGTCGTCGTCGTCGTCATCGTCGTCGTCGTTGTGATTGTCGTCGTCGGCGGCGGCGTCCTCGTCCTCGTCCTCCTCCGCCTTGTCTTCCACGTCATCGTCGTCGTCGTCCTCCTCCCCCTCCTCCTCCTCCTCCTTCTCATCCTCCTTTTCCTCGTAGTCGTCGTCGTCGTGGTAGTCTTCGTCGTCGTCGTCGTCGTCGTCGTCGTCGTCGTCCTTCGTCCTCGTCCTCGTCCTCGTCGCGGTCACGGCGGCCGTCGACGTCGTGATCGCGGTGACGGCGGGCGTGGAGCCAGGGGGCGCGCTGGGCGGCGGAGGAGAAGATCCGGAGGTTTTCGGGAAGTCTTCAAGGACGTTTGAGGGTCAACCTTGGGGGGGGGGCTGGCTCTGGGGGAGACATCGACCTAGAATCGGCGATGCTTCGCCGATAAACAAGGCGCAGCTGCTGGAAGGCACCCCGAAGCTGGAAGGCCGACGAGAACCGACGAAGACGGCCGAACACCTCGACCCTCGAACCGAACGTTGCCTTAGGTCGGGCGTGTCCCTCTACAGGCGGATTGTGGACTTAAACATGCCCCCCAAAATACCAACAAACATATTCAAGAATAGTCAAACAATCGTCCCCTGACTATTTCTAGACTATTTTTGCCCTGGACTGGCGGCCTCGGGAAGCCATCGGGCCTGGGGGGCGGCTTCCATCAGCAGGACACCTCGCCAGGGGGCCGCACGGAGAGACGCCCCGGGGGGCGCCCCGAGCGGCCACCCGGGGCCAGAGGGCTCTGCCTTGTGAGGGTCATCGAATGAGGGAATTGGTTGCTGCTGAAACAAACCTGGGTGCATGGCTTGATGGACCCATTTTCCACCACCTCTACCATGTGCAGGAGGGGGATGAGAAGGAGGAGGAGGCGGAAGAGGAGGAGGAGGAGGAGGAGGAGAAGGAGGACCTCCTCATCCTTCCTTCTCCCTCGTCCTGCATGTGGTAGTGGTGGTGGCAAACTGGCCCATCATGGCTGAGGTGGGGATCCGCGGCGCGGATTCTTGTTGTTGCTTGTCATTTTTCACGTCGTCCCCCCCTGGATCCACCAGCGACCCACCCGCGACCCACCCGCGACCCATCCCGCGACCCACTCCGCGACCCACCCGCGACCCACCCCGCGCCCGCCCCCTGACCCTTACCCGCAAAATCGGGGTGCTACGCGTGTCGCGGTGGCGGCCCCGGCGACACGCTTTGCCTTGCGAGTGGATAACGTATCGCTCCGCTCCGCGGGGCGGGAAGATTCGAAAGGCTCGGGACGTTGACGTTCAGAGGTCCGGTCGTAAATAGCGTGTCGCGCCGAAGCGTGGTGGGCCAGAATCGGCGCCCTGACACGCTGACCCAAAGCTCCTGGCCGTACGTACGGCAGGTTCGTGCCGTGCCGACTTGGGCGTTGGTTCCTCACACCGCGGGATCAGTTCAGCCTTGAACGATCGACCGCTTCCAAAACGTCAGATCGTCAGATCGTTCAACATCGACCGAATCTGGGTCGCTAGCGGCATACAACGTTGAACAAACGGGGCGGGATTGCTGCTGGTCGACGCGACGCGAACCTACCGTATTGAGTAGATGAAGCGGGTTCGAACAACAAAGAAAAAAACAACAAAAACAACTGCACCAACAAACCTTGCCATCTCTTGGGGAACAAATCCCACCAGCCCTCTGGGCGCAGGTGGTCTAACGAGATGCCTCTTCCCTCGTCCAAAAAATCCCTCTTCCCCTACGGGGAGGGGTTTATCACTGCTCCCTATTATTATATACCCCCTCCCCCAGGCGACTGGGAGCCAACCCGAGGCCATGCCGGCCACCCCACCATCCCTTGTAAAAAAAAACAATACAAAACACACACTGCCTCCAAATTCGGAGCATTCGCAGCGAACCCGATGCGGCCTCGCCCCACCATCCCTGTCAAAAACGATACGGAGTATACTTCGCAGCCGCGGCGGCTGCGGCGGCTGCGGCGGGGGCAGCGGCTGCGGCGGCTGCGGCGGTGGCGGCGGCGGTGGCGGCGGCGGCGGGGGCGGCGGCGGCGGCGGTGGCGGCGGCGGCGGTGGCATCGGTGGCGGCAGCGGCTGCGGCGGCAGCGGCTACGGTGGCGGCGATTCAGCGGCGGCGGCGACGGCGGCGGCGGCGGCGGGCGGCGCGATGGCGGCGGCGGCGGCGGACAGCGGCGGCGGCGGCGGCGGCAGCGCGTCGGCGGCGGGCGGCGGCGGCGGCGGAGGCGGATTCGCCCCCAGTAGCTGCCCATCCAAAAACGACTGTTGAATGTGCTGCGGCTCGGGCCAGGCTCAGATGCTACGTATGTGTTGGGAGGGCGGGTGGGGGTGAGCGAGACGGCTTGCGGGCGGGGAGGGAGTCTTGATCACTGTTCCCTATTAATAAACACCCCCTCCCCCAGGCGACTGGGGGCCAACCCGAGTCCATGCCGACACCCCCCCACCATCCCTTGTAAAAACCATACAAAACACACTCTGCCTCCAAATTCGGAACATGCGCAGCCAACCCGATGCGGCCCCCCCCACCATCCCTGTCAAAAAACAATACAGCGTACACTTGGCGGCGGCGGCGGCGGCGGCGGAGGCTGCGACGGCGGTGGCGGCGGCTGCGGCGGCGCGGCGGCGGCGGCTGCGGCGGGCGGCGGCGGCGGGCGGCGGCGGCGGCGGCGGCGGCGGCTGCGGCGGCGGCGGCGGCGGCAGCGGCTGCGGCGGCGGCGGCGGTTTGGCAGCGGGGGGCGGCGGCGGCGGCGGCGGCGGCGGCGGCGGCGGCGGCGGAGGCGGCGGCGGCGGCGGCGGATTGGCCCCCAGTAGCTGCCCATCCAAAGACGACTGCTGAATATGCTGAGCCTCGGGCCAGACTCGGGTGCTACGTATGTGTTGGGAGGGCGGGTGGGAGTGAGCGAAACGGCTTGCGGGCGGGGGGGGGTCTTGACCACTCCCCCTACCCCCTCCCCTGGATTTTTTGTGTGTTGTGTGTGTGTGTGTGTGTGTGTGTGTGTGTGTGTGTGTGTGTGTGTGTGTGTGTGTGTGTGTGTGTGTGTGTGTGTGTGTGTGTGTGTGTGTGTGTGTGTGTGTGTGTGTGTGTGTGTGTGTGTGTGTGTGTGTGTGTGTGTGTGTGTGTGTGTGTGTGTGTGTGTGTGTGTGTGTGTGTGTGTGTGTGTGTGTGTGTGTGTGTGTGTGGGGGGGGGGGGGGGTCGCGAGGTGTCAGGGCGTCCAAAACGGCCTCGGCGAGGAAACCAAAATCATTGGTTTTCCTTAGGTTTTGGCACCATGCTGGCCTTTCTGGGGGACTGAACGTTATACCATCTCCTCCTTTGACCGATGGCCTTCAAGATGGTCCCAAGAGGCCTTCCAGGTCCCCCAAGAGAGCTCCAAGAGAGCCCCAAGAGGGCCCCAAGAGGACTCCAAGACCCCTAAAAGAGCCCCGAGAGAGCTCCAATGCCCTCCCAAAGAGCTCCAGGAGAGCTCCAAGAGGCGATTTTGAGGGCTCCTGGGAAGGGGCCGAAATCGAGGACCCCCCATCTTTTGATCGATGCTCTCCTAGATGGCCCCAGCAGGCCTTCCAGGGCACCAGCCACAGCACCAGCAATGGCAGTAACAACGTCAGCAGCACCAGCAACAACCGCAGCAGCACCACCAGCTAATGACTGAGAAATCCCACCAGCCCTTTGGGCGACAGGTGGTCTGAGGGAGAATGAGGAATACATAAAGCAGAAGCACTCTTCCCCCTCTTCCTCCTCCTTTTCCCCTCGCCCACACGCGGCCCCCATGGATGGCGCGAAGAGGCCTTTTAACGCCACCCCCTTGCTCCCAGAAATCTCTCGGTCCATCCTGGTTGCTCGCTTTGTTTCCCTAGACGTATACCTTCGTCCCTTTTCCCGTCAGCTCTCATGGGCAGGGCTTCTGAAGAGCTGGTGGGCATATTTTTTCGGTCGCGTCCGCGAGCGAAAGCGCGGGCGGAGACAGAAACTGTCCGGGGCACGGAAACAGACCTAATTAGCTACAGGGCGCGGATCGGGCCGGCCGGGCCAGCTCACAAGGCGGCTGCTGAACCGCAGGGCGAGGGCTGACTGGCTGAGGGCACCCAGGGAAGCTCAGGCATCGTGCAGCCCTGAGCAAAATGCCAGGGAATTCGAAGTACGCCCTGCGGCGTGGACCACTCGGTGAAGGCGAGAAGGTAAGCGAGCTGATGCCCACACCCCTCTCACGCCTGGTGGTCGCGAAGGCGAGGTGAACGATGAACGAGTCGCCAGCGGGGCGCCAAGTCCAGGTCCGTGCCAACGGCGTATGCCAGCTAGGTGGGCTGAGCAACCGAGGTGATGTCGTAGACCTGCCTAAATGGCTGGGACGGATTCAGGGAGGAGCGCAGCGTGAGACGGAAGGCTGAACCACTCCGAAGCGACCGCGGGGCTCCCGGGGCCCACCATCCCGAGCACGTGACGGGGCCGGCCCTGTGGCGAACCCTGTGGGCCTGGCCCCAGTCACCCGCGTGTCAAAGCGTGGTGAGGCGCCGCACTAAGTGTGACAGTAGCCAGGCTGGCGGGGATGAACATCGTCAGCGTGGCAGGATAGGCGAAATGGAAGTGCCGCGTCCGGCGGAAGGATGGACCACTCCGAGACGCTTGGCGCCATCCCGGGAAACGCCACTCCCGAGCAGGGGCAACGGACCGGCCCGAGTGTGGGGCACCTGCGGGCTCGTCCCGTGGCCCCAGGGTCACGACGCGAGCGTCGTAGAGAACCGCGTATTGCGCGGAAGGGAAGCCAGACTGGCGGGGATGAGCGTCGCCAGCGCAACAGGAGAGTAGGCACCAGGGGGCGACAGAGCCAGGGGGCAATCACCCACGTGCGGAGCAGTGTCACGGGACCTGACGGGTCACCCTGCCCGTGCGGGACCCTCCTGTGGTGGGGTCGGCGGGGACAGACATCACCAGCCGGCCACATGGAGGGGCCCGCCGGGACACCCAGCGCCAGGGGGGAGGGGGAGAGGGGCCAGAGCCAAGGCCAGTACTCCAGGGTGCAGCTAACGGCTGCTCAGGGTTGAATTAAGACAGGTCCACGTCCAGTGGAACGCGGGGCCCAAGATCCAGGGATGCAGCTAACAGCTAACGGCTGCTCAGAGTTCGGTAAATGTCACGAGCGCCCACCCAGCAGGGGCGAAGTGTGGGCAGAGCTTCCCCCAGCGAAGCGCTGCCAACTATCGACCTGCTGGCCCCGGTGTCGGCGGCGTGCCTGCATCGCTGACATCTCACCAGGGGTGCAACTAACGGCTGCTCAGTGACGAAGGACAACCAGGGGGGCCACAGCTGCTGCACTGGGAGGGGGGCTGTCCTGCATCGTTCTCGCCAGTGGCACGACTGCACCGCCGAGGAACTGTTCGTCCCTGCCACTCGGCCGTCCAACCGTTTGGGTCAGACCGGCTCCCGCCAGTCGCCGACTGCGTGAAACCCTGGGGCCAGCGCTGGATCCTTCCCGCGCGTGTCCTGTTGGGAGGGAGGGTCGCCTGCGCCGGTGCGTACCCAGGGGAGACGCCGGGGGTGTGGCGGGCGCCGTCTGCCTTCTCCGAACAGCTGCATCCAGGGCGGCCGAGGCCTCTACAGTCACGAAGCGTGGCCGATACTGCTTCCAGGGTGGCCAAAGCTGGTGGGGATACTTTTTTGGTCTGCGGCCGCGCGACAACGGTTTGGCGGCGGGAAGCAATGTCCGGGGCGGGCGGCACAAAGCGAATTGGCAACCCCAACCGCCACGTTGACAGGCCGGATCGCACCTGCACAACAAGCGCGCAGATGCAAATGCACAGAACAAAATGCTCTGCATTCACCAACAGACGCACCTAGGCGCCACCCAGTAAACCAAAGTGTACAAGCGGCCGCGGGTGCGAGTGCAACGGGGTGAGTCGCCAGTGCGGCGCCAAACTCCAAGCAGCCAGCCCTGCTAGCTAAGAGACACGAGCCCGGGAAACCGGGCTGCAGGCGGTGGAAAACAAGAGGCAAACGACGCGGAATGCTGAACCACTCAGCGCGCAGCCCTCGAACTCCACCTCGAACTCCTCGAACTCCGGGGATATATGCGCGAAACGTGAATAATATTTACTTCCGCCAGCTTCCGCCGAGCTTCCTTGTCTGTCAATTCGCCCGCAAGTTTCTGGGATAGAGCGTCCGGTCGCGGGCTTCGCTAAAAAGTCAACCAGGAACGGCGCGACGGAAACACTTAAGATCCCGTCGGGGGGCCAAGAAAAATCACGTACGGGGACCGCTGGGGACGAGGAAGGCGGACTAGCCCCATCTCCATCTCCAACGTGCCACCCCTACGTGCTCCCACCGTTACGAAAGTAACACTGTACGGGCCCGCCGAGTTTCTGCCAGCTTCCGCTGGCGGTGGCGGCCTCGCTTTACTTCCGTCGCCTCCCGCCAGCCTTTCCCGAGCGCCCCACGCCAAGGAAGAGATAGATCAACTCCTTCGACCCACGAATGCGAGGCCTCTTTTTAACATGCCTCACTAACAGGGCCCAGGGACACTCAAAACAAATATGCGCACATGTTTGTGTGGATGTTCGTCTTCCCCGTACACTTCCCATATTTTCCGATATCTTCTTAGAAATCGACGTTTGTTAGCGTCCGTGTCTATTCTTTCCTCCGTGTAGAGAGGCCCCGACCCAGACCCCCGACGTCGTGACTTGTTCACAGCGTCGACCCCCCGAAGGCCCGACCCCTTCCACGGGAACGGCTCTTCATCCTCAAGCATTTCTTTGGCGGCCACGAGGCCCGGCAGGGGCCCTCGGAGACCGAAGAGAGCGAAAAACCTCCCGTCATGTTTTCGCGCGACGACGACGACGACGACGACGACAACGACGACAACGACGGCGACGACGACGACAACGACGACGACACGACGACGACGATGACGGCGGCGGCGGCGAGATGCCCCAACGACCGCGGCCAGGAGGCCTCTGCGGCCCGCGCCTCCTCCAGCTGCGCGGCCAGCACGCGCGCGGGGTTGGCGGCGCCGCCGGCGGCGGCGGGCGCCTCTGTGCGCTGGGCGGCCGGTGGGAGGCGGCGGCGCCATCGCCCTCGGGCCTCCGCTGGCCTCCTTGGGCCTCGTCCTCTTCTTCCTGCCCTTCCTGCCCCTTTCTCCTCCTCCTCCCCCTCCTCCTCCTCCTCCGCCTTGTCCTCGTCCTCGACCTCGTCCTCCGCTTCTCTTGCCGCGTGGCCCAGGCGCTCGGTCACTCCCTCGCCCGCGCCCTACCGCCCCACGGCTAGGGCGACGACAGGCGCCAGTTCCAAAGCCTCCTCCCGTCTGAGAGGGCGGCCCAAAATGAAGCACTTCGCACGAATCGCACTGTACAGAAAATACGCAGCTATGGGAATCTCGCAGGACTTGCGAGACGGATCCAGCACCCCCAGGCGGTCCAGATGGTCCCACGGGAGAACACGAAGCCTTAAGGTCTTGGCGGCGAGGGCATCGAAAGGGATGCAACACCAGTGATGGTGCATGTGGTCTTCGCCACCAGATTGTCGTGCGCACCCTAGTTTACAGCACGCATCTTCGGCAATAGACTTCTGGAATTGGCACTGGGTGAGCCAATTCTTAAAAACCGTGCGAAACCAGGCTGAGGCCAGAGCCGGCTTCAGCTTAGATGCGACGCGCCGCACCTCTGCCCAAGGGATCAGATCGAGACGCGAACCATTCCCAGGGAACCAGCTCCGAAGACGAGAATGGAGGAGCGAACGATTTGGGTCCGGGTGCAACGTCTGGGAAAACGCACGAGTTAACAATCGTTGGATTTTAAACTTCTCACGACGGGGGTTCTCTACTTGCACGGAGGCGCATTCAGTCAGATGTTGGAGAAGGAGAAGGTGAAGGGGATGATCGGGATGTCCGTTACGTGCAGCATCCAAGTGTTGACATATGGCGGGGGATGACCAGTATTCAGGGGAGTTGACCAAAGAGAGTAAAGCCGAGACCACGGTGTTCTTCAGAGGCAGAGCGCAGACGCCGAAAACTTGGCTCCCAATCGTATGTGTCCCACGCTGCCCTCGTTCGGGCTGCTAGTGTCATCGCCCGCAGAGAAGGGATCTTTGGCCCTCCCATGCGGACCACGAAAAGAAAGAGGCCCTGGCCAAGCCACAGGAAGGTAGGTGGAATATTCGAGCCAGCAGCACCGATTCGTCGTGGTCGATGCGAGGCGGGAGGGGAATGAACTGCGCCACACACGAGAGAGTCGAAGCAACACGAGAGGAGTACAGCATGGATGCGGTAGGGGTGGGGGAATGAATAACCGCCAACAGACTCCCACGGGTGCGCCACTTGGAGATCGGGGCCTTCCAGGATTGTGCCTCATAGTCGGGTCCGATCCACATCCCCAGATATTTGATCATAGTCACAATAGATAACTGCCCCCACCCAGGTCAAGTCAGGTCAGGTAAAGTTGGATCAGGTCAGGTGCGATCGGTCCCGCAGGAGGCAAGAGCTGGCACTTCGCTAAATTCAGACAGAGATTGGCGAGGGCGTTCGCATTGCCGAAGATGCGCTTGATCTTCGGAAATACTTCAGGCGAAACAATTACCGAACAAAGAACGTCCGCCCACGCGCGCACCTGTCCCCGCCGCATCAGCTCGACCGAGCGGAAGAAGTCCTGGGGGAAGGGCTCGAGACTTGCAGCAAAGCAAGTACCGCTGCCTGGGCAGCCTCGAATAATCCCCGCCAGGATCTGAAACAGATAACGCGTCTCCCCCCCGAACTTGGCGAAGCAGTGGGCGCTGGCATCAATCATTTGAATAAACCAAATCAGCGGACCTGGGACACGAATAGCGCTCAGCACCAGGAACAGCCAGGCATGGGCGAGAGACGGAAACGCCCGGGCAAAGTCGCACGCCAAGAGCGCGGGCAGTCGCTCTGCCGCCGACGGCAGCATCGAGAGGATACTGGATTCCGCGTCCACATCTATGATGTTCGTGCCGAACTGCCGCGCCCACCAAAAAAACCACGTTGACTGAAGTGGCCAACCTTGGCCCACTGGGCACTTAAAGCTCGGGCACAGACAGCCGCGGGGGTTTTGGCATCGCAGTTTTTTTGCCGAGAGGACGGAGTTCTGAGGCTTCCCGAACGGCACCGAAAGCGCGCCCCTCCTCCTCCTCCTTCGGAATGAAAGCTACACGTATATAACTGAACCCCATCACCATGTTCCCCCCTCCAATATCCAGACCATCACCTCGTCTAAAATGTCCGCGGCCATCGGCGCGCGCTGCCGGGCGGCGCAGGGAAGCATGTCTGGTCCAGGCTCGCTGTGGCGCACCAGAGACAGCTGCTTTTCAATCATTCGCTTGCTTGGAAGGGGGATGTTCGAGAGGTCTAGATGGCCCGTGAACTTATCAATGTAGAATTTCGCCGAGGCAGCGCGGATGGGCTTGGAATCAACAACAGGTCCCCAGTAGGACGGGATACATGCAGCAATCTCGCCGGGCGCCGTGCACGCGCCAAGCGGGCGCCTAATCCCTCGGAGCACAAGACGACGATCGACTGGGGCCCAGATCTTACATCGTTGTTGGAGCCGTCGTCGTTGCTGACTCAATCTCTTCATCGTCGCATTAGACTGCGATTATATTCCCATGGGCGCGCTGCGTATCCTCTCCTCCAGTCGCTGCTGCTGCTCCTCAAAGCCCTCCCGAATCAGGCGATCGATCGTCGTCGCGTACTCAGTTGGATACAGAAGCCACACCTTGTCTGCCATCAGATCCAGACCAAGATGTTCCCTAGCGAGCGGATGCGCGCGGAGTAAAGTAGACGCGAGCTGGGCGTCTTGCCGCCGCGCCGCCCGCCCCACAGATCTCAGGATAGTAATCTGCGCCAGCTGCGAGTCAGGTTCATCTGCCAGGAGAGAGTTGCGGGCCGCGCGAGCTGTTTCGCGCATCAGGTTCTTAGAATGGACTAGCTCGAGCGGGGGGGGCATGCTGGGCCAGTGCGTCGCATCGAGATAAGCTTTCGTCGTCAGTAGATCACACGTCGTGCTGAAAATGAATTTCGGAATCGGTCTCTCGTCGGGCGTCGACGATCGAGCCGGGCAAAATGCAACCGGAGTCGGGGCGTGATATGAGATGTTCTTGTGGCGCGTGATCTCAACCATTTCTTTAGTGTAACCAGTAGCAGCCATATTAGTAAGGGCCCAGCCAGGGACCGTAGTGAACATCCTATATATGATGCTAGTGTGATCGCGGCCCGCGGAGAAGTGGGCGGGATCTGTCTGCTCGATCTCCACCAGCTGCGAGAAGAGGTGAGACCAGGCAGAGTCGCGCGCAAAGCGCCAAGATGCATACCCGTCTGCGGCTAACGCGGCAGCAGAGGGTACCAGCGGCTTCGGCGGGGCGGCAGCAAGTTCGAAATCTCCCACGACCATGACCACGCGTTTGTCAGGTTCCTGGGCCGCAAGGGCCCTGTACCGAAGTACGCGGTTAATGATGCAGTTCCCCTCGGCTCGGCTAAGCCCAAAATTGTGGATGTTGTAGAGCGTGATCCACGCCCCAGACGCGCCCAGGTCGCTTCCACTCCGAGACATTCTCCCACGCGAAACCAGAACCGCAAGGGCTCGACTTTTGGTGATCTCTATGCCGCGCATAGATCCGCACCCTGGAGGGTGCTTTGGGACCAACGTGAGGACGCCACCCGCCTTAGCCGAAGGGCAGAAGGAAGTGAAGAGCTCCGCGTTCTTGTCGAAGAAATGCACCACGTCTTCAGCCTCGGACCTGGTCCCGCGGGTTGCCTGAACAGCGACGCAACTGGGAGGGCCCACCAGGGACTTCAAGTACTCGTACTTTTTGCCCCGAAGGGGAAAGTCGCGATGGAAAAGAGCTCGAGCATTCCAGCTAACAAAACTCAACGTGTCTCTGGACCCGCTGGACCCAGGACCAGAGACGGCAGAGAGCATTAAAGACTCCACTGGGCGGGCGCCCTGTCCGCAAACAGGGCTTTGATGGGGGCCTCACAGACCGCCCTGTCGATCCCGAGGGTCTGCATGTTCTGCATCGCCCACTCGATGGCGGGGGGGTCGTCGGCGCCGTTCGCCGTGAACTTGAGGGCGGCCTTCCACAAGTGGCTGAGTTCACCGCGGTCGCGGTCAATGAAGCAGCGCTTCCCCTGGAACAGCTCCTCCATCTTCTTCTTGATGATATTGAGGCCCAGCTCGGTCTGGACCTGCTTCTGGTTCTTGTCCGTGGAGACGAACAATTCAGCCCGAATGCCTTCGGGAGTCTCGCAGTCGAAACGTCGCCGTCCAGCTTCACCAGGAAGGCGCATGGCGGCCATCGCTTGGTTGACCTTGCGCGCAGCATACCCGGTGGCGCCACGAAAGGACAGCTTGTGGAGCTTCGCCACTGGGTCACCCTTGATGTGCCACTCATCCTCCACGATGTTCGCGTCGTCCAGCCACGGCTTGATGGCCACCTGGACATGGGAGCGGGCCACCATGGAGCGTGAGCGAATCGTGATGATGGTCGGGTCCGTGGCGCGGTCGAAGCCGCGAGAAGAGGAGACGGGAGCTTTCGGCTCCCCAGAACGAACGATGCCCAGCGTGGTGCGCAGCTCGGCCACCTCCGACTCGAGCTTCGCGAGCTTGGCGACGTGGAGAGAGCCGTGCCTCAGCTGCGGACATGCGCTCCTCCACCTGTTTGTCGCACGCCTGGAGGTGTTGGTGCATGGTGTTGGACACGGCGGAAAGGGAACGTTGCATGCCTTCGATATGCTGGATGGGTGTCTTACGAGCGTTCTCGATGGACTCACGGAACGAATGGTAGTCCTCTGCCTGCGGCGTCGGGACGGGCGTGCCTGGAAGGGACGGCGCGCTGAACAATGATGAAGGGGTGCCAGCTTCACCACCAGCCAGGACGGGTGTGGGCACAGGCTGACTCGATCCTGCCGTTCCAGTCCTTGGGGTCTGAAGGCGAGGTTCGCCCGTCTCTTGATCACGAAGAGCCATTGCGCCGCTGTGCTGGCACAGCACCCTGTCAAAGACAAAATGTACACGTTGACGCAC